CCCCCTCCTATCAAAATACCCCCCTGATTAAACTACCCGGGTACTTTGCAAATTCAGGAGTAGATTTGTAAAAAACCCGGGGTAGTTTAGTCAGTGCACTACGGTATATGTCATATCATAGAAATTAAAGAAATAGTAAATCTGTAGCAGCAAAATCGTGAACTTTTAACGGGGTTGACCCACCCACATTCATCCGGGTAGCTATGATTACAACCCGGATATCTGACCCATCCGGGTTGATCCGGATATACCCGACCCGGGTCCAAACACTATAATTTACCTTCGTTTGGAAACAAACTGACACTTATAAACCCTAAACATTCGATATTAATATGAAATGTCAATGTGATTTATATTTGGGAATAAAAAAATACCTGCGTCAGTGGGAATTGCAATTAATTTTGTGATAAAGATTCGACCAGTGTAAACTGCATTGGAGTGGATTTTTTGTTTTTTGTTAATATTCGGAAAGCTTTTTTGGAATTCCATCTCCCTATCAAGCTTATCTAATTTCTGCTTTTCTAGTTTAAGACACTCTTTAATTTCTTCATGTGTTTTATGATATTCTAAAGCGTAGTAGTATTGCAAATACAAATTATTCAGTTTATTAGTGTCTGCTAGAAATCTGATTGGTCTGTTTTTTGGAATAGGATTCCAACATCTTTCAATAATAAATTTGCACCATCCGAGAACATTATTTGTATCGTAGGTCGTACGCCGGTATAGATGTCACATACAAGGTGTATATCATGATTTCGTTCACCAAATGGTCGTTCGCCTGTGGCAACTTCGTACGTAATCATCCAAAAACTATAAATACCTGCAGCTTTAGTGTATGTCTTTTCATTTAATTTAGTATCTCTGTACTCGTATAAGGAAGTACTCCGCAAATTTTTTGAGTAGATTTTTCTATTTCTGCTGGGCCGGTAAGTCCAAAGTCAGCAATTGAGGAATATTATTCATTAATATGTTTCCCGGGTGAAAGTCACGACGCACTAATTTATCTTTGTGAATTTTACTCAGCCCTGCAATAATACAGATTTTTGCCCCAACTTAATTTTTCGTAGTTGGAATTCATATACAATGTACATGTATTTGCGTATATCGCCATCTTTCACATAATCCTTTACTATCGAGTATTCATTTGTAGCTGGGTTTTAGTTATTCCATAATAATCTAGATAACTGCACTTTAGAGTAGTCTGAATCTAATTTTGAAAGATTAATTAGATTGAAAAACAAAAAAGCAATATCCTTACACTTAAGGTGTTCCTTTTACCTCGGTTATAAACTCGGATGTAATTTGCTTTGAATTGTGTAATGGTTTCAACACAACTTCCCTTTTCTATATCGTTTAAATTTAAATCTATTCTCTTCATGATCCCACTCCTGGTAGTCGTAGTCGTTCAGTGTTGTTTTATAAATTGATCCGAAACCTCCTTTTGCAAGATATTCAAATACTTAATCATTATTAATGTTATTATAATAAAATTAATTTTATTTTAAGTCAAATTTTGCGAAAAATTATATAAATAAATTAAACTAGCAATAAGATATTATGTTAATTTAAGATATTTTATAAAATACTTTTATAAACTGACTAGAGATTATTAAAATTTATTAATAAAAATGTTATAGAATAAATAATAAATTACAAATCAACGTTATATATGACCACTCTAGTGACACTCATTAATTATTTCGCTGTCAATTCTTTGAAGACTCACTTATAATGCGCGTTATAAATAATGAGAATTTTTAGTTTACTGAGTTTTAAACAGAAAGATGATAAAATTAAGAACATATTTTTAAGATTTAATGAAAGTGTTTATTAGATTAAATAGATTGTGCTAGGATAAAAAATTGCTGCTAGTTTAAGAACATGTTGTTGCAAAAACCAGTAAAGTGTGATAAAAATCTGTTAAGCAATTTCAACAAGTTCTCTCAAATGAAATTGTTTTTCATAGCATAATTTGAAATATTTATATACGTACTTTGACTTAATATAGTTTATTTTTTATTTTTTGGAATTATTCTTTTAAGTGAAAAGCAAATATTTTATTATAATATTATATAAAGTAGTAATAAAGGCATGTAATTCTCATTATTTATAGCACGCACTTAATTCGACTAAATGTTCACGACTCGTCACGAAGATTTTAATATTTTTTAAACAGTAGTAATTCTTCTCATGTATGCACCTTTTGATTTGTTTCATTTTCATTTGTAATAAAATCTTTTTTGTCATTTTGAGTCGCAAAACATCGCCATCCAATAACACCTATCAAAAGTCCAACAGTGATCCCCAACCCTGACCTACGCCTCCAGCTGCTTCGTTGCTCAAAGATGGTTTTTCAGTAATGGTGGCATACAAGGGTTTCGCAATAGACATGGTGGGTATAATGCTCGTAGTGGCACGAACTGGATAAGCTGTTGTTGAGGACACAGAGCCTTGGCCAATTTCTTGAGGTGGTATGACCACTACCGTCAGGTGCATCCCTTTTCCGCATTGGCCATTGTTATTTGAGGTGTAGAAAAAATATCCACCCTGCATTGAAAATCATCTGGATTAATTGTATTTTGTGATGGCGATAAACAAGGTTAGCACAAACATTTTTCCTTGCGTCTACAGAAGAATATATTATAATTTCGGCGCCGGCTTTTTGTACACCTAATTCCACTGTTTGTTGCAAAAAGTTATATTCATGTGTTCAAAAAAAAATTTAAACAGAAATGCATAATTACCTATTGCTCCACTAACTGGTGATTGGATGATGTCACAGGATTCTCGTTAATAGTTTGTAACCATCGCACATCCATTCGAAACTAATGGAATCCGAGTCATTAAGGAAAAGCACGTTTGGCGTGAACTCATTTTCCGGCTCGCCGACTCGAACACGGTACCTATTATAACTTCCTGGAATACAACTTTGAGGAAAAGCTGGAGAAGTTGTGACAAGTATTAGTAGCAAGCATATGCAAATATCAATAATTATATTCATTACTTATTTGTTTGGGTTTGGGAAATATTATACAGTATTCATTATTTAGTTGTGCGGATTTTATATTTTGATAAATACACCTTTTGTTTCATGGATGATGTTACACATTAAATAACTGTATCAAAAATATTACTCCAAAAACTCAATGTAAGTAGTTTATTGTTAGCATATCGAGAAAATAGTGGAACAAATTTATTCAATTGAAAAAAACGAATATAATAGAAACGTAATACATGTATTAGATTGCCTGAAATTTAGAATAAGAGTATAAAAACAGCAGAACGAATTTGTCAGAAATATTGTAATATGAGAAACAATAGTAAGAATATGCACATATGTATATTCATTATTTAGTTGTGCGGATTTATATTTAGGTAAAACTCCCTTCGTTTCATTGTGATATTACACATTAAATGATAACGAATTTGTCGGAAGATATGGAAAACAATGGTAAAATATATTCATTATTAGTTGCGCGGACTTTATTTTTGGTAAAAATTCCTTTCATTTCGTGTGTGATATTACACATTAAATGATAATGCAGCAGCACAAAGAAATTTTGAGTTTTTCAAATTTGAACCAATCAGATAATGTACTGGTCACATTACAATATCGAATACGTAGTACATGTACGTGGTTGATCTGCAAGATACATGTATTTACATGTACTTTGTTTCATTGTTATGTATGGAAATTCATGCGGCCGATTTAACTCGGCTCCTTCGTATCGCTACGAAGTTCGGACTATATCATCAGAATTGTCTACTTCTGTTTGGCGTATAGTCTCTGGTGATTTTTTCAGTTTTCCAAATATCAATTGCAACCACCAATTTATTTGTACTTTTTTGAAAATGTGCCTAGTTTCGATTTTTAGAAAATACATGTACAGTGCAGGACACTTAAAGATACCAATGAAATTAGTCATGTTTAAAGCAAAG